AGTCGTGTAGCAGGTTACTGACCTTATCCTCTTAGATGATGGGGGCTTCATTCAGTCAACCTGTCAATCAGCCTGAGGAAAGTCATAGGAAGTAATATCTGAATCACTATTTCTATCCTTCTCTCTAAAATTTTATTGAATGGCATTAACACAGGAAAGAATGGTAAAATGCAAAAACATAATGGGGGAATATGTCTTGATAATAAAGTGTTCTCCCTTCACTAACAAAGGCTGAGTGCATTCATAGAGCTGTCAGAACCCCCGCATGCTGTTTGCATATGTTTTCTAAGGTACATTAGGTACCAAGTGATACTTCATGGTGCATGTTTTGCATTCGATCTTCATTACTGTGTATTCTGGTCATAGGCAGCACTGGATGTCCCCTGGCTCACTGCACATTTAAAGCTTGATCATGTTTTTGTTTTGGAGTATCTTGTTTATTTTCTGTTGTCTTTACTATAGCGACTGAAATGGGATTGCAGAGGTGTAGCTACAAACGTTAGCCATGCTGCCCTGGTAGTGTGGCAGAACCTGGTAGGCAGCAGTTCTGTCCTTGTTCTCCTCTGCAGAAAGTATTAGTCTGATCCCTGAAGTGCTTTATGATTCACAGCAATAAATTTAAAACATTTTTGTCTTGCATATTGTGTGTATGAATCAGTCTGAAGTCATGAGCAGGTCAAAATAGTCTTCATTGGCTGAATGATGGGAAGTGTGAACATTTTAAATGTGAAAGTTATTCTGCATATGTGACAGTCATCCAAAGGCATTGACAAACATCCTTCTTGAGCTTAGGAGCATTAAAACTTCCAGGATTCTCACAGATGGCACACAGCTGCCTTTGAGAGTACATCCAGTGATGCAATATTAGCATTAGAGCCCTTCTGGATCATTTTTAATATTTTCACCAAAACTAAATGTTCTGCCCTTAACCTTAACATCTGATAAATTGGTGATTGATGGTACATAGCAGACAAACAGAAACTGAGGCACAGAAAGACGTTAGCCTCCCCTTAGGCAACAAGGGATCACAGAACGTGCTGTTTCCTGCAGTAGAGTGCAATAGTTTCAATTAATCTTAGACTTTAATTGCATCCAGCTGCATGGGAATTAGCGCTTAGCAAAGGAATGATGTTATTTCGTTCTTGCAAACTTCACAAACGTGGCAGTTTGAAACCCATTACATGGTTGTCTTACTGGTTCTGGTGGTTGTTTTCCTGCACCTGTTGGTGGTTTAGAAAGCCTTGTTCCACTGCAAAGCACGCATCACACCGTGCCAATAAAGACATCTTCTCTGTTACTCTGAAGCTTAGTAGATATACAGAGATGTTTTAAGCCATAATTCAGTATTGAGTGGAACGTTAATAATTTAACAAATTGCAATCAGATTGCATACACTACAACTTAGGACATGATAAAAAACCTTGGTTAATTTAGACTTGCAGTAATATAGCGGACTTTCCAGGATTGGCTAAGCATGCCGAGGGGCAAGTGAAATAGATGTCCCTGTCGGCATAAAAAAATGTACTTCTTCAGTCTCCAGGACACCCATAAAGAGAAAATTGAGCTCATCGACTACCATGTTATTGTCACTGACAAATTACAACAGGTTTTAATACACAGTGTTACGAGGGAAGACACAATGGGTTTCAAAGAAATGTCCTCTGAGTATCTACATATCTGTTTAATTGTTGGAAGACTCAAAAGATGTAACTATTGCATCTTTAGCTTCTCTTAATGCATTTTTTCCATTCAGTGGAATGCACATCTGTTGGAGTTGCTGTCTTTCCTCCCCATTTACCAAAAGCCTTCTGCACTGGGGTATTAGCTGTGTTGATAGAGATCTGTAGGGATCGTTAACTTCCTTGGAGGGGCTCCAAGTAATTGGAGCCTCACTCTAATCTCTCCTGTTAGGTGTTCATTGCCACTCCTGTTCAGGAAGGACCATTATATGCAGGCATTGCAACACGTTAACCCTTTTATCATTAGCCTGGTGAATCTTGTGAGTCTGAGAGAAACTCCAGGAATGTTGATGTATGGGCAATAAATCACAAGCCAACTGCTTCCAGTCATACTCTTCCCACGAACTGACTGCACTGAAGCATCAATCCTGTTCTTAGAAGTGCAGCTTGCAGAGAAATGACTGTGTTCACATGAGCACGTACCATTATCATGAAAAAATAAGTACATTGTAATACATAGAAATGCAAGTGACTTACAAAAGCAGGAAATAAATATTCCCAAGCCAAGAAACTGTACCTAAGACAAAATATTTCCAGAAGTGATGAGTGCTCTACTGTTCCTGGAAAATTGACTGTCTGGAGCAAGTAGTGGGTAGATTTTGAGAGTCCAGTTGATAAGAATGGAAATACTTACCTTGGGCATGGAAGGTGGGATGAGCAGAGTCATCAGATACTGAATGTTGACCCAAAGAAAATAGAGCAAGACATGGTACATCACTCACTGGCGCTCAGATTATTAGGAAGTTAATGGTACCTTCATGCTCTTCCCACCAAGAACCGTCTCGGCTATTAAGTGCTTGTGGTGATTTTTCTGCCTTTTTCTTTTATCACTCTTATTGAACTGCTGTATCTCTCAATACTTGATAGCAATAGAAAGTGATGAAAATATGAAGGTTATTAGTATGTCTTGCTGCTGTGAAGCAGCAAGAAAATTATAGAAAAATCTAGAAGTAGCCATCATTACATACTGAAAAAGAAGAGGTTGGATTGTATAATGGGGGCAAAAACCTCATTTAGTCCAAGTTCCTTTCAGAAGTCTTCATCAAGACATCTCTTAATGTGAATCTGGATAAAGTCAGATAGTTCATTCTGTTTTTCATTTGCTACAGTACTGCACTCGTTATGTGGTGACTTCTTATTCCACATTTAGACACTGTGGAAACAGCTAATCACAGCTACAAAGACAAGATTAATTTGGTGTTAATTTCCAAACATTAGTCTTGGAATTTACTTGCCTTAGTATGGGTAGACTTAAAATGATAGGAAATAAGTTGCAGTGGTGGAAAAAATGAAAATAGATCATTCTTACACATGACAAATGGGGCAAAATTGGTTAAGTAGTAATTTCTGGGATTTTTTTTTTATATTCAGAAAATTGCTGAGGTGGATTTATGTCTTATTTGTGTTCTTTCAAAATCACCAACTTGATCTACTGACACAGGAAAACAGATAGCTGATTTTTTTAAGGCAGACATTCCAAAGCTCTTGTCTTGGCCAAGGTGGAGTGATAGCTCTAGAGGGTTTTTCCACTGCTTTTGCCTACCATTTGATGAGTACATCTGCATTCATTGCAGTCCTTTGGCTTCTAACATTCAGAAGCTGGTAAAGATCAATCCATGATTCTGCCATGAAAACAGCTGAAAAGGGGAGAAGTAAAGAACAGTTGAATGTCAGAGCTGCAATGTGCTTTATGCTCACAGCATTCTCCAGAAAAGCACAAAACAGGGAGAGAGAAGTCTGAACTTCGTCTTGATATTGCATCCATGCTTAGGAAAAAAGGGATTATGAAATCCTGTCACCCCTTCTGCATCTCCAGTTAGCCTTCTAACCTGTTGAATTCAATAGGTGATGAAAGAGAGGAGAAAGTAAAGCAGGAACTCAAAGAAGCAAGGAAGATGTCAACCACTGCTTGCAGCTTGGTGAGGATGACCACCGGGAAGATCTCTGCAATTTGTAGAAACGCTGAAATCTGAAATGATCCAATAAATAAAACTATCCCTGCAGGAATAATCATTCTAACTTCCCAGTCTCAGACTACAAGGAGGGGGAGAAATACAGCAACTAATACAACTTTGAAGTATATATGTAAGAATTAAACATTTCTTCTAAAATCTCTATCAATTTCTCAATTACATACTGGAGAAGCAGATTTAGGCTCCTGCTGATGGCAAATAATGCACAGCTCATAAAGAGGACTGTCTCTAGTAGCTGCCATATGAATATGAAGTTTAAAGAAGATGGATAAAAATGTGTTTCACACAACAATCCATATTAATCTGTGGAAAGACCCTCTGTTAAGTAACAGGATGCTGGTGTGATTTCTTCAGAGGAAACCCATTTTGGTCTAATTATGATGAAATAAATGAATTCCAATACGGATTTTACCGAAAATGAATCCAAGACTTTAAGCAGTCCACTGCAGTCCTCCTGTAGTATCCCAGATATGAAGGATGTAATTTGCTCTCTAAGATGTTTGTGAAAACCTAAGTCTGAGTTCTGTCTTTTCTTTTAGTCTGCACCTGCAGAAAGGCACTAAGGAGGTTAGTAATTATTGTAAGATGCATAGACAGTGCATGGAAGTAAAATAACAGAAGTTGCAATTAAAATATATTTTTGGGAGGAAGCATCCATACAGGCGTTTGCTTTCATACCTCCCTTGTATTTGCCCTAACGTGCTGCTTCAGGGAAGCCGTTCATCTGAGCTTTATGCTCTCAGAGATCTTTGTCATTTTCACATGAAGCAAACTGAAATCTAATCAAGTAAAAGCCCTGAAGTTTGGAAATAGTATTTGTTGTTTAAAATAACGCATCTCCCCATCCTTGCAGGCAGGAATGTGTTTTAGCACATTTCATTTATCTTGATCGATCAATTTTAATAGTCTAGGTGCTGAAACACCCAAGTGGCAGAAGTCCTGGGTAGCTTTAAGTTAATGTACATATGGCACAGCTACTGTGCTACTTGACTGACAACAACTGCTGTTGCTGGGTTGGGTTTTTGTTTTGTTTTTCTTTATAGAAAGTATTCAGTGTTTGTTCTTTTGTGGTGGGGTTTTTTTGGTTGGTTGGGTTTTCTTTCATGTGCAAGCACCATGTTTAGTTTTTATACCTTGTGAACCAATATTGCTGAATGACAAATAGGATAAATACGTGCTGAGCGCTTTGTGTTCTGCTTGATAAATCAATTTACTCATGTTTGTGCCATGTCTGATGGGGACCAGGGTCCTTTGTAACCCCTCTGCCGCGTTTGTGTCTCTCTGTTAGGCTCAGAGTCTTCCAGCAGCGCTGGCTCCTCAGGATCACTGTCACGGTTACATCAGCCTCTCCAAAGTGCATCTCTTGTCCCCGGGGTGACGGCCAGCTCTGCGGGCAGTGTGTCCTACCCTGAGAATGGGATGAGTGGCCAGGTGGCCCCCAGTAATACCAGCTATATCATTCTTCCACTTGAAGCTGCAGGGATACCGCCTGGCAGCATCCTTCTGAACCCGCACACAGGTCAGTACGACACTTTCCTGCCTGGTGCTGCCCTTCGGTGTTTGCAGTGTAATCTGGGGAGCTGGCACATCTCTTGTTTCTGGAGATATTTTCCTTGAGGCACCTTATGAGGAAGCACATATACATGGAAGTGACATTTGGCAAGGAGTTTTCTCAAATCTGCAGGCAAAGCCGGATTGGCTTTGTGAGGCTGTTGTGGCATAACAAGTAGGAAGTGATACAAAACACACTTGTGCGGTTCCAGAGAGGATATTAATCTTGTAAAGTCCTAGCACTTCTTGGCTGTGAATCCTTTTTCAGTAAGGACAAATACTTCTCCATATCAAGCGTGCTGAGGTACAGTGCAACTGAAATACGATGTCGAAGTCTTAGACATTGTGCTTGGCAGCAGAATTTCAAAAGGCTTAAAAGGCTGCGTTTGAATTAGCACATCAGAGTTAATTTTATTGTGAGCTCTGTGATTAGCCATTGTATTGAAATTGGAAGTTTTCTGCTGAAAGGCAGTTGTAACCTCTTCAGTTCCTGGTACTTAGCAGCACTGTGGCACACAAGCGAGGCACTTGGAGTCACCCAGCGCTGTGAATGCTTCAGAAACCACTCAGCTTGAACCAGAGTGCTTGGTGGAAGATAAAGGCAATTTGTTACCTCCTTGGTCCAGATGAAGTCCAGGCCACGTTATGGTATTACTCCCCACAGTGCTGTACTGACAGGATTACAAAGGTTCAGGGAGGCTGAGGCTGTGATGGTTCTGCAGTGATTTGGGTTATTTCAGTGACCATGCCTAGCTGTGCTGTCAACCTTAGCTGAGTTATGCTGGGTTTAAAATAACAAAGCCTACAGTGAAATATATGTTCTATTATACTGGGAGCTGAGGGTGAACTCCAAAATATTTTGTCAAAGTCTTTAATGGAGCGTTCAGGAGCTTTTTATGTGGAGATCTTTGTTTCTAACCGGTATTTTATGTCTCTTACGCCCCTGTGTTCCAATGTTTTGGTGCAAATATGTAAAGCTCATGCTAAAAATATTTTTCTTTTTGGCCAGAATTCAGTCAAGAAAACCTGAAAATTGCAGCATTTAAGAAAAAACATAGCCTTGACAATCTATTAAAACAAGCTTTCCATAGATGCTTGGAGACAGTAGTATCTGGGGCTGATCAATATACATCAGCATATACAAAATCAGGCATTAGTTCTTGTTTGCTTAGATTCCAATGTGATAAATTCTTTCCAGAGAGGTGGCTTAGTAACTTGAACAAATTAGTGCTTTTTTAAAGCCTTTACTACTTATGTGTGCTTTTGTCAAGCTATTACAGTATTGACATGAGAGCCTAATGCGATCAGCATAAATTGGGATTTGGGGCATTTCTTAAACACTTGGGGGAGAGGACAGAGTAGGAGGTGGGCATAAGACAAAACCCATCATTACTGTTGTTCTGGAAGTTGACAGTTCTGTCTGTTACACTGGAATTCCTTGGTCAATAGAGAAGACAGCATACGTGTGCTGTGTGGTCCACTTTCATGCAGAAGTCATCCATAATTCAGGTGATAGGACTGTCCATTTAGCAATTTGCAGCAGGTGGCTCATATTTTGCCCTGGTACCTAGGAAATCTTTTTCTGCTGTAGGTTTTATACCCTTCAACACTGTCACTAGACCAGAGCACCTTGTCTTCCCTCTTCCCTGTCTGCAGAAGCATCATGGAGAGATCCATGTACGTTGGTACGTTTAACATTCAGGGAGCAACTGCTTTTTGTGTAAACAGGATTTTGTGTTTCTTTCAGACTCTGTTTTGTCTCTGTAGCTCCCTTGTAAATGCATACATGGTAAAGACAATGGAGGGAGCAGTTCTGAAATTGAAATTCTTGTCTTGGCTGTATAGCTTCACGCTTCTACCTGTGCTGGAAGTCAGGGTATACTGCAGTGTCTGCTGTGTTTTTAACATGCCGCAAAATACATGCTGCAGATTTGCCACTCTTTGGGCTAAGAATCTTTGCATCTTATTAGGGTAACATTATAAAAGAAGCTCCATAGGGAGGAGGCTTAGATTGCTGGATGCTGTGCTCAACTATCAAAGTGATGGATGCTGTCAAAAACATAGATGAAGAGAAGACAGTTTAAAGACAAAGGAAAAGGAGCTTTGTTTCCTGTAATGAATAGATTTTCATTCCCTATGTAACACCATTCTTTAGCTCTTTCTTCTCCTCTTGCAGAGTGGCTACTTCCAATCTTTTTCTCTCTTTTGATCATAACACCATGTCCTTTAAAGATCCTTGCTTCCTTTCACGCTGCATAGTCACTGACTCTGCAAGCCTCTAATGGCATCCACAGATGCTGTCAGTATGTCCCTGCTCTGATTATACCTTTCAGCTCCTCCTCAGGTGGTGGCAATCCGCACTTTCTTTTCCATATCTAGTTTCCTTTGTTTGCTCTCTTCTGCTTTACCCTTCTTCCCAAATGAAGATACTTTTTGCTTGCTTTGGGAAAGCACCATTTACCTGGCTGTGCTGTTTTACTCTGTTTCACCCACTTCAGCAGTCTTTTGCACCCTTTAAAGGATTCTTGTTGCTACGTTCTCTGACTTAACCCCTTTGACAATTTAAGAGCATTTACGTTTCATTCTTACTCCTTTAAATGACATCGCAATCTCTGTCCTTCTCTGAGGGCCACGGTTCATAACTTACAAATGTCTTCCCTGTTACCATCTGATCTTTCCTTTTCATTTCTTATTTCAAGATTTCTTCATGAAAGGTCTTTTTTTCATCTTTAAAAGCATTTGTAGACCTTTTCTCTTCCAGTTCTGCCATCCTTTGCTGAGACGCGGGAAGTGCTCTTTACGGTTTCCCTTGAGCATCTGGCACAGGTTTTGGGAGCCTGTTATTCTGCTCATGCAGTTGGACTTGCCCAGAGTCCTAAAGTACTTCTAGAGCCTGAGATGCCCAAATCTAGGGAGTCTATGCCGTTGTCACCCAGTATGTTCACAGCAAGGAGCAAGAAATTAGGTAGTGGACAGAACTGCCTTGTGCTTTGCTTCCATTCACTCTAATGATGACCTTTCTCACTGTGAGTGTGAGATGTGCCCAGTATAACATGGTGACTTCATCCTGAAAGTCTTGATGCTTTAGAGAGAGAGCAGGGTTTCTTTAGCCAGTGCTCCTCATGTGTTCCTGACCACGATTAATAAGAGGGAGGAACCAGAAGGCTGAGGAGTACATAGAACAGGTAGAGATGCTTGTGGTATCCAAACCAGAAGTTCATTATTTCACTGTTGCGCTCAGTCACCAAATTCCTCCAGCTCTCCCTTTTTATCTCAAATGTTCATACTTTAGTTACCTACATTACATGTTATCACTTCACTGCTAGAATTCCTTCTCAAGGAAACATCTGTAATTCCTTTGATTTACCGTTTTATGATGGAAGAGAACTGAGGTCATGGAAAACATTTTCCTTACAGAAAAATACCATTTCCTTTTTGTTCATAAGACAATGACTTGGGTAAATTTATTTATTTTTCAACAAACATTGCTTTTCCCCAGCTGAAATAGCTGAAGCAAGAAGTGTTCAGCAACTTAGTAGAACTTCGGACAGAATTTGTCCTGTATATAAGAGATTTTCAAAGACGACGTAAGTGTTGCTTCCTTGATAACTTCCAGTGCTGCCTCCTTTACATAGGGCACAGCTCTCAGAAGTACAGATCTATGTCATTAGAATGTGTAAATAAATTAGTAATGAGGGTGGGTTTGGGATTTTTTTCCTTTTATTACAAACTATAATATGTCAGGAGCAGTTGTGCACACTTGACTGCTATTGCGTGGCAATAAAATGTACGTGAATATTCTCTACCTCCAGTGTTTGTTTCAGAGTTCAATTTTAGCACTAATTGATTCATCATTGAATGACTCCAAGTAACCATCGCATCTGACTCATAGCCATGGTAACCTTCCACCCATTCCTTGGGAAGTCATACTGCCAAAACTGATACCTGCTGTCTGCTTTGCCTGCAAATTAAAAAGAAAGAGAGAAAAGGATGGCTGATCCTGTAATGGGTCATTGAGAGTGATGAGCACTTTACTGTGGTAGCAGGTCAGCTAAATAGCCATCAGTTAAAGCAAGGCTGTATGATTTCATACAGAAAACATTCTTAAGAGTGTGGAACAAAGGCAGGGTGCTCTGTTTCAGGTCAACCGTTCGTAAATCCTGATGGGACACCGGCAATATACAATCCTCCCAGTGGCCAGCAAACGATGAGGAGCCAGATGGTGGGACAGTCTCAGCAGCAGCCTTCATCCCAGCAGCCTCAGCAGGTTCAACAGCCACAGCAGCAAATGGCAAGTCACCTTGTCACACAGGTAGGTGTGGTGGCCATTGGAAAAAGCGAGGAAGCTCTTGTGGATATGAAGGATGGCCTAAAGGGTAGGAGGGAAGGATGCAGGTAGACAAAGTATCAGGATGCTCATTTCTCTTGAAACAAATGGGGCCCATGCTTTGTATAACATGAGTAGAGAGAGAAGATTCCTTTTTCAGTTTCATCTAAAGCATGGTTTCATTTTGACAAGGACTTTTAAGTGAGTTGGTGCATGTCTACACACATTTATTTTGCAAAAATTGCCCACAGGTGAAAGCTGAAGCATTTAATTTTGAAGCAAATGCACTGTGTAAGTCTCTCCAAAGAGCTGGGGAGCTTTCCCTGTCCCTTTCGACAGCAGTGGGCTTGAGTCAAAGAATCGAGTACAACACAGGGCTCTATAAACTCTTCCATGTCCCGTTATATGAGGCTTGTTCTATGGGTAGCCCACTCTCTGTGCCCCAGAACATGGGTCTTCTGCCTGCGCCCCATGTTCTGGCCATGACCCTGTTCTGAGCCACAAGCTCTGGATCTAGAGCAGGAGCAGGGAAGAGCAGTGTGGTTTGGGCCCGTGCCATGGTGTATCAGCTCTCTGGCCCCTGGCTGAGCATGGCACGTGGCCAGATGTGCTCAAGCATGGTCAGCATCTGCTTCAAACTTAATTTGAAGGATTGTGTGCCCGCTTTCCCAGAGCGGGGAGCGGGGGGGGGAGGAACTACTCAAGCAATCACCCTACATCCTGCTTACTTGCAGAGCAGCCAAGATCTCCTGTGGCTCTCGTGTGGCTTTATATAATGTGGCACAGTTTATCCCAGGCTACCCAGAAATACAATGCTCAAATTCCGTGAAGTTTGGATTTGGATTTGGATTTGTGTGTTTGTGGCTCTTATTGCCTGATTTGGTCTTAGCAGTGTTTGAAGACAGTACTGCAGTACTTATGCATGTAGTACCAAACCTGTGCAAGACTCATGCTAAATGAGAGATCAAACCAAAAGGAAGAGTAACAATATTCCAAGGTAATAGTGCTGTAGAAAACTGCTTTTTCACTTAGATAAACATCTGCTCCAAGCTGATGGGTCTGTCTTTTGGTAACTCACAACCTGCTCTTTGTAATTGGTTTTTTTTTGGCTATTGTGTTCTACCAAAGCAGCTTTTCAGTCATTATTCCTTTGCCTATGACACACTCATCAGTTAAATCAGCCATTATCAGCAGAATTCAAATATACACTTATGCTGTGTGGCTTCCCCATTTATCTCTGTAAATTAAATGTAGAATCATAATTTGGCTTTGCCTCGCATCAGTACTAAGGTGTAGCTGTGGCTTTATTTAATACAGCAGCCATTGAATATGTGAAAAAGGCAGAAAAATCTGTGATAAAGAATTGTTTGGTATAAGGCTAAGATGAAGATGAAAATTGCAGCACCTGACCTTTTGTACCTGGGCTGGCAATGAGCCTGTGTTTTCAGAGCTGTGTTTGAGACCTTTGTTCTCAATAACAGAGGTGGCAGGGGTGGTTGTTGTTATGTGTATTTATTGTCTTTCCCTGTGCTTATTTTGCAGCCTGTTCAGGCAATGCAGCCATCTTCTCAGTCAGTCCAATATCCAGCAGTTTCTTATCCTCCCCAGCATCTCCTGCCAGTCTCTCCAACGCAGCAGTTTTCTGTGGTACTAAAGATTTTTCCTTTTATTTTTCCTTTCCATGGTGTTGAAGTTGGGTGTGTAAGCATGAGCATGCCCAGGAGCCTCTGGGTAGCACTGCGAGGGGTGTCTCGCGTGAGAGCCCCGTCTGAATCCCCATTTGCCTTAACACTTTCGGTACTGACAAGCTTTCCCTTGGTTCTGGTTGTCCAGCCTGGAGGATGGTGGCAAGAGCAGGGCTGTCTACCTGGCTAGCAGAGCCTCCAGATAAGTGTTTTGTTGTGCTTGTGACAGGAACTTGGGTCTTCCCACTTCATGTTGCAGAAGCTTAAATTACTAACTTGGGCGGTTGAGATTTGGACTATTCTGTTCCCCTTTTATGTCCACATAAAAGACTAGAGAAGAGAACTCTGGAAATCATTCTTTTGTGTTTTACATTATTTTCTCAGTGTACTAAACCCACTGCCTGGATTTATTCCCTGGTGGTACCAGAGCACTTGGGAAGCAGAGTAGTGGTGAACCAGCTGCAGAAGGTGTGGTACACTGTGTGTCCTGGGAAAGCACCAATGGACATATGTAATCAAGATAAATAGAGTGCTCTCCTGGAGTCTGATTCTGCCTTGGTGCTTACAGGGCTAACATTCTGCTGTTGTAAAATGAAGCTGACATTTTAAGAGGCACTACAAGATTATTGGTTTTTTAATGTTATTTTTTATTCTCGCTCTGGTAGTCTTGTTCATGACTAGTATTTTTTTTTCCCAAGGTAGAGATGTCATGTAGTTAGAGTAAGAGATGGAAACAAAGCTGAATGGATCCTTGCAGCTAAAATAACATTATTAATGCCTGGTGGATGAGCAGTACCATTTAAAGGACAATAAAAGAATGTTCCACGCTGAACACAAGTTGCATATCTCAGTGCCAATTCTCTTGAAAAGTGCCTTGCAGGCATCTCAGGTTGTTCTAGTGATAGGCGTAGGAAGGCTGATATTTTTAATGGCTAATTTAACAGTGAAACTTCACCTGAATTAATGTCTTCAACGTACATTGCATTATACACAAAATGTATTAATTACAGGGTTTTGAAGCTCTTGGTCTCTATTGTACAAAACCAGAGACATTCCAGGCTCAATGAAGAATTTGTTTGCAGTTGCTCACTGTCCAGGTAGCTTTTTAAAGACACTACTTTGGACAAACAACTTCTGTACCTAAATATGGATGTAGGAGGATGGCGAAGTTAATGGCATTACATTCTTACACCACCTGAAGATCTGCCAAGGGTGTTTGAAATGTTCTCCCATGGTATCTGCTCTCAGAGTGGGAGGTTAAGTCAAATAGCATGGATGTTCTAAGTGAAAAGCCTTTTTGTAGTGCTTATTCCCTATCCATGAGGGGGTATGAGGAAGGGACCATAATCTGCATATCGGCACATAGTGGAGTTTTACGCTGGATTTATTGTGGTACAGAATATATTGAGTATTTAAAAGTCTTTTGGTACGGATACAGGTGAAGATGCATAGAAACACATCTGTAAATCTTCGACCTTCAGAATAAGCTTGAGAGAGTTGAATAGTATGGATCTTTTTGCAAAACTGAACAGATACTGTGTGGAATCCCTGAATCATTACCAGCACGTAATGAGCCTTAGGTCCATTGACTTTACTTGGTATGTTCATTCTACCATAGATTTTTCTTTTTCCCCTCCAGTCAAATAAAGTACTTGTTTCTTTCTAATGCTGAATAAAACCCCTTAAAATAGCAACTGAAGGCTCAGCTTTTTTCACCTTCTCTGTGTTTACAACCTTGGATTTTCAAAACAGTCCAAAAAGGTAAAGGTCTGCACCTGAATCCCACTGATTTCCTCTTGGGATCATTTTGAAACACAGGTGACGTTACCAGCCTGTGTTTGGCTGAGGAATTCAGTGTTTGGGGGAAGAGCTATTCATAACGTTATTTTCACACCCTTTATATTTAAAATGTCTTCTTTTGAACACTGTAAAGTTCACTTGTCAATTTGGAATAATATGGAGGAGCAGGGTAAAAGCCAAAATAATTGGCTTTTGTACCATGTGGTGCCATTCCCCTTGCAGTCTGGAAGTCTTTGTCAAAGCATTTATAGTGATTTTCATTTTAATTGCCTCCATTTTTGTAGATACCCCTGAAAAGTCTGGTATTTGAGCCGAGTGCTTCCTTTCCCCCTTTGTGTCCTGTTTGAGCCTGTTTCATTTTGCCACTTTGCGTGCCTACTGCAGACATCACGCCTGCATCATCTTCTCCTGCCTTTCACCCTGCAGCGAGATGACATGACAACACAGTTTAACCAGATGAGCTTGAGTCGCCAGTCATCGGGAGACAACCCCGAGTCGCCGTCTGGTCCTGTGTACCCATCGCCTATCTTGCAGCAGCCTGCCCAGCAGACGGGTTACATTATGGCTTCTCCAAGTCAGCAGCTTCCCCCGGGAGGCTTTACAGGTTCAGGTCCACCAGTATCCCAGCCAGTGCTGCAGCCACCACCTCCACCCCAGGGCTTCGTGCAACAACCACCACCGCCTGCTCAGGTACGCGTAGCCTTTGCTGTTGGTTTGGCGTGTTGCTCATTGTAACAGTTTTAGCCAGTAGGACACTTGAAAAGCCTTTGTCGATCCCTGGGTTTCAGCAATTCCTTCCTTATCCTCACACCGTTTTCTGAACACACGTTCATACTCCAGGACATACCTGCACATGGTAAGGGAAGGATCCTCCTCTGTGTTGACGTTGTCACCAGCATAAGTGTTCAGATTATGACCATCATTTTCCAGCTCAATTAGAAATACAAGATGGGAAAAAAATTATAGAAAAGGAAAAAAAGGATTTGTGGATATAGAAGCTTCTTTGTTTAAAAAGTGGTTAAGGAGCTGGGGGAAGATCTGGAAGGCTATTCTGTTCTTACCCCGTTTCCCTATTCAAAGTACACCAAGATGGTACTTAGGAACATGGTTTAATGGTGGACTTGGCTTACTGTAAGCCTAAGTGTTAGGCTTACAGTAGGACTCAATGATCTTAAAGGTCTTTTCCACCCTAGATGATTGTATGAATATGAAGGAGGGTGAGTAAATATCCATAGTCCTTTTTCCCTGTATGTACACCAAAAGAACAACACGCACATCAGCCCAGGTAGTCGTTAATCATATTTAATTGACTTGAACATGTGAGATGTCACAGATCAGTAATTTTAACTGTCTTCCTGAAGAATGATTATGTTTTACTGTTCACTACCAAACATCTCCACTTGTCTCCTGGGTACCTTTACAGAATATTGAAAGTGATTACTGTCAAGAAGTAAAATGCACAGATGACTTTCTGGCCCATTTTCAAGGCATACACTTTAAAAAGATGAATTTCGTTACGCAATTATAGATAACTTCATTTAAACTCTACTTTAAAATGGTATTAATAGTATTTCTCTTGTTTTCATTTTATCCTTTGGAAAAAAAATGTGAAAAAATAAAGAAAAAAAATCACCATTTCTTTTAATGTAGAAGTAGTATAAATCCTACTGGGGTTTTTTTTGCCACTTCTGACTGAAAATCTCCAATTGTGTTTGTTAATGGGATTCTGTATTGCCACAGTAATGAAGAATTTATACTGTTATAATGCTTTTAAGTGAGCTAGAGATCCAGTTAATTAGATCACTAATTAACAATAAAAGATATCTGAGGACTGCTGGATGCTGACACCCATAGAGGACTGTGATGTCCGTAGTTAGAAACCATGCAGCCATTTTTTCTGAGAGAAGGCTTGTAATAAGAATAATTTTAAGGAGCTGAAGTTCAATGTAATGTGATTTTTTTTAAAAAAAGCATAATATTGATAGAAAAATATTTCAGTGTTTGCAAAATGTAGCATATTTTAAAAATATTTGGGGAAAAAAAGTGACCTGACAAGCAGATTCCATCTCCCCACCTGAACTCTGTCTCCTCAGTGAGCAAGTAGAGGCTCTCTGGGCTTCTCTCCTCATGTACAACCCCCCAGTGCCCTCAGTGTTTTCAAGCATCACTTAATCAAACCTCCCGACACTCCTAGTGAACCGGATCAGTGTGAGCACCTCCATTCCATGAGCAGATGAAGTGATGGGTTTGCCTGGGGGGCTGCAGCATCCTGCAGCCCAGTTTCCACTCAGTCTGGTGTGGCACTACGTTATGAGGCTGTTTTCCCCCATTCATACTTGCTCTGGTACTAGTGGAGAGGCAGGTGAACTTCTTCAGAGGGCAAACGATGAGGAGGTGTCTCTTCATGTAGAGGCTGCTGTAGGGCCAGTACTGTACTGGTATGGCTACTGGCCAGTATGTCTCTGTGCCACAGATACAGTACGTGCAGGCGCTTTCCCCCTGTGTTGTAACAAAGTGGAAAGTTACCAAGGGCAGAAAAATATCTTTTGGGTTTGCAGCAACCTCAGTTATTTCACTGGGGAATAGTTTGTCCTCAGAGGGGCATAGAAAGGTGAGAAATTCAGCGCTGTCAGCATCCACTGCACTGCGTGCACCAAGCATCTCCAGCTTATTGCTATTCCACAAGATCCTTGTCAGATACCTGTGTGGAAGAGAGTGTGTGGGATGTCAGTCCCTGCTGCCTGTGTCCCTGTACTGTGAAATAGCAGTGGCTTTGGTCTGCAGGGAGGGAAGAGGGGGCAGCAGCTGCCAGCGTTTGCATGCACAGACAGGAACCTCTGATATCTTAAGCTTTAATTCAGCCTCTTCAGCCCTAGAATTTGGCACTTTGGTTTGTAGCACATGTACAGCAATAGAGGATCCCACATATAAAAAGATGTGCAAAGCCTTGAGAAATAGTAGTTCCTCTGCCCTAATAGCTCAGCTTTCTGCGTAGGGCACCTAGACCCCAGCTCTCTATCCTGCCCATGGCAAAACTTCACTGTGGCAGTGGCTCTTGGCATTCTGCTTTACCTATTACTCTTTTGGGCTTAGACACGGTAGTGAGGCTGCTCAAAAGGGCTGTAAGGATGGTAATGCATGCAAAACGTTATGTGATGCACCAATCAATGCAATCAATGTAAATGCACTTCTGTATCTTAAAAGTTGCTATTGAACTTATACCAGTAAAAAAGAGGCTTGACTCTAATGGGTAATTAGTTCCTGTAAATGCATTGTTGATAAGGTTCTAGTGGGCTGGCTGTGGTGTCCTATATGCTGTTGGAAATTAGTGGAGGTCCTGGGAGTGTGATCATTTCCTTTGGGATCTTAAAGAAGGAGAAAGAAATGCCCTCTAAGCCTACAAACCCTATGGTATTATGGTATTGCATTTAAATTATTAGGTTTTGTATTAAAGTTCAATTAAACATGGCTCTATGGCTGCTCTCCAAGATTCTCTCTCCCAGTCTGCATCAAAGCAGCGTCAGACTGAGTTTGAAATGAGATGCCTAAGAAGTGGTGAGAGGAAGCCTTACGTTCCTTTTGCTGTTTCTTTCATCACAGCTATTCCCCAGCTAGACAACAGAGTAATGATTTAATAACCTGAAAATAATGATATGTCTTCAGCCAACTGGAAAAAAACAACAGAAAGCCAAACCAAAATGAAACAAACAAACCTTAACCATTAGCCTGGGTTTGCTGAAAGGAACTTTTAGTAACAAAAGCTTGTTTGCTTTCTATATCACCAGTAGGAAACATACATCTTTACTTTCTCTATGTTCTTCTATTTGCCATTTTCTTCTTTCCATGGCACTCCTATAACACTGATGGGCCCAGGAACTTCAACAAGGGTCCACATTTGGGTTTTGCAGCACTTTCTCCATCGTGCTTGTCATTGCCTCTGCAAATGAAGAAATGGGAAAACTGTGAGTACCCTGCCAATGGGAAAGGATGCGCTCCCTCAAAAGTTATTTTCACCATGGAGTCATTGTTTCTGAAAAGTAAACTGGCAATATGATGTCCAGAAATGAGCTGGCGTGAATCCTTGGAGGGGCTTGGAGAAGCCATACACATGTTCAGCGATTTTTCATCTGAATTCAGTTTGTGTCATCATTAATTTTAGCTGTGTCCTTGCAGAAGACCCCTGCAAGAGAGTCCCCAGCTACCTTAAGACAAAATCTTTATTTATAGCATGCCTCCTTTAGGAAGCTTGTCATGAAGAAGGTTGGTGAGTCGCCGCAAGTGAATGGGGCTTTCATTGATGATCTCAGAAAATGATGTTGGAGGACATCCTACAGTTGTACACAGGCCATTATTTTATGGAGGGAGTGGAAGAGGGGAGAGAAGGGAGGACGAGAAAAATCCTTGAAGAAGGGCTGATCCCAGTCAGTTAGATATTGGGAAGAAATGGTACTTCCATGTGTCCATCCGTCACTGTGGTTTCTGTTCTCTTCACTCCCATTTATGCTGCCGTTAGCAATAGTGTCAGCATCACTAATCATCTGGAGGAATTTGTTAATTCAAACCTAACTGACTATCAGCAATGTTAAGAGAAAATAGAGTACTTGTCTGAAGTCAGAATCATGCTGTAAGTCAGTGGGGAGGTAGTTTGGGAAAGTAAAATCAGCCTGAAAGATGTGTGGAATCCTATTTCTACCATGAGGAAACGAACATTATCTCTGTGAATTTAAGGGATGCTGCTAGAGAGCAGTCCAGGGACACCCAGCCTGGAAATGGGTTTTCAACAGTATGTGGACAGAACAAAACCAAAAGCCAGTGCTGTATTGAGTCTCTGCCCGTCATCTAGGGGCAAAGCACATCGAAAGGAGGAAGAAGAAATGCCTGTTTGCGCCATTTCATGAGTGTCTCTGAAGTGATGTGCCCAGTCAGAAAGAAAAACCAGAACGCATTGGAATGGTCAACCTGCAAACAAGGAAGGTGTTCACCTTCAAAATAAGAATATCCGAGGGGGTAAAGATCATCAGTCAACTGCTTCTGTGGTAGTTATTAAAAAGGAGGGATCTTTTACAGTGTCAAAGATTAAGATCAGGAAACTGCTTTTCGACTGAAGAAGGCAGCATTTATTTAGGTGTGGTCTTAGAAGGGCTTTCTCCAATCTAGGATAGCCATACAGCTGTGTTGGCATGCTTGTTAGTGCAATAGAAACTTCCTGGTTCTGTAAATGAAATACATTACACGAGCAAGAGGTCCAAGGTTAGATTGTGCATTCACATGGGAAAGCAATTCAAGTCTAATTTGGCACGTCAGTAGGCTGCTACAGAAAGGTAATGGCTTTTGTTGAAGAGCGCATAAGCAAGGTGTTAGTAATGCTGATGCAATGAGAAACTAAAAAATTTAATAGGGTCAGAGCAGGCGATGTAGGTGATACTTGTTATCTCTGGTCCCTCCAATTCCACTGTTCACTAAAGTAATAGCAGAAAGGACAAATAACATGTTTTTACTACTGACGCAGAGATGTACTCAAGATAAATGAAAATGGATCCTTCCAAACCCCTCAAGCATGACAGACCTATTTTATCCAATGTCTATATTTTACACCAAGCCCGTCTTTTGATGGCAGATCTCTTCACAAAACCCAGGAAACACAGTCAATTCCAACTACAAACAAATAACCCCAAACTACCAACAAGAGCAACAACAAACAACTCCCGTGAAAACCTAAACCTCTTCTTTGCAAGTCACGTGTGTGTGATTAGTGACATATTCATCCATTAATCATTCTCAGTGAAATGATTATTTTCTTTACCCAGTATTCCTACTACTGTCATTTTTCAGGCTGATAGATTGCAGTCTGACAAGCTGCTAACTGGAGGTATATAGCCACTTTATTCCAATGAATTGAGAAAATGAGAGAAAGGGAGAAAACCCTTTGACTAACTGAGGTGTTATCTGGGTGGTAAAAATAGATACACATTTCCAAATTACCCTAAATGCTTCAGTGTGCACAGATGTTTTTGTGCTAAGCATGTTCAGATACAAACCTCGTTTCACAACCTACATTCTTTAGGCTATGTTTCAAAGTTAATACCTACAGACTCTTTCCACAAGAGATAATTCACGTTGTTCTCATATGCTCGTGTATTCTCAAATATCTAGGGGCTCATCTGTACACGGAAAATGAGGAAGTTGAGGGTAAATCAAATAAATTTAAATCCTTTAAGTGAGATTAAGCTGCTGCCAGAAGAAGTGGGAGTATTTCCACAGGGTTTAATATTCTTTGATTTGTAGAATGTAGTAATAGAAAATAAAGAATATTTGCCAGAATGTCTGTGCTGTTCCCCTGCTCCAAGGCAGGATCAACTCTTTGCATTGACTTTACTTAAACTGAGTCTTCTCGCTTCTTTCAAGTCTCCTATTGTAGAGTCTTGCTGAGAGCAATCGCATTTCCCCAACATGAGTTTATCACACTAAACTTGCCTGATCCGTTTTACATGGCTGTGATGGTTAAAGAATGATTTTGCAACCTATATGTCTGGGTCAGCTTTCTTATACCTTGTGGCTTTGCTTTGAGAGAAACAAGTTCATCCTGGTTTTGTCCATTTTACAAAGGCATTTTGCTTTTGTTACTTTAGTCTCTAACAAAACAAGCAGCTCATGGGCAGGCTGTAGCCATTACATGGCACTTGGTATGTCTGGAGGGGGAGGATAGTGCACATTTTTCAGTTTAAATGTTCTTGTTTTTCTGGTATTTGTTTGAATCTGGCTGATATTATTAGTGTGGGGAAGAGTCCCATTGATTGAAGAGAAAATGATTTGATCTTGAAGAATAAATTGGTATTCGGCCTCTTGATTGACAGGTGATATTGACTGTCAGTCAGTCTGGGGGTTTCACTTCACCAGCCACACCAAATTCAGCTTTGTTGATCCTGACACTTTTCCCACCAGTTACCCATCCAGTAGTCTTTTGCCTGCCCAAGTAGCCATTCATACCCTCTTCTTACGCAGTCTTTTAAATCTATGCCTGCCCTTTCTCATCTGGCATCATCTCTAGGAAAAGTGCTGGTGTCTCTTGTGATGTCCTAGCACAAGGATGCTATTACCTTTACTCTGCTAATGCTTTATGCATGATCAAGTGGAATGAGCTGTCCTGTGAACATTTCCTGCATGCAAATGAAAGTGGCAAAAATAGTTCTTATTTTTGTATGAAAAGAAGAAACCAAACCTAAACCAAAAGCATTTGGTAGGACTGTGCATATGTCTGAGTAGGATAAATGCCACACACAAAGGGAAAAACAAATAAGTAAATCGTATAAGGAAATGCTTAGGTCACAAGAGAAGTGATGTTCTCCCAGAGCTGTGACCCTCTGCAGTTGGTTGATACCATGTGCTACCCACCTCTGTCAGGTAACTACAGCATCCACTGCAGGTGAAAATGAAAAATTTGGAGTGCTCTGAACTAGCCAAAGGTCAGTTGAAAACTGTTCAGCTCAAATGTCTCAATACAGTGCTATAGCGTGTATAGGAAAAATGGGCAGCTCCAGCCACCCTCGGACGTCCGTGTTCCCCTGCGTGATGAGGTGATGTAGTACACATTGCTCTATAATGACAATAACAATAGCAAGAAGAAGCCCACCTACCAGAACTTGCTGGCTCAGTGCTTACCCTGAGCTCCTGCAAGAAAGTAGTTATGATTGTGTTTAGAACGGTAGTTGTATTCACACCACGTGCGGGAGAGGCTACAGGGAAACGTTCATGTAATTGTTAAACAAAACCATGAATTTAATCATTGTTTCTTACAAGTGTTAAGGGCACACACTCTCTGCCTTTCCCTCTATCTTGCTTCTATATATTTTTACTCTGGGCTATTCTTTGTTGCAGATTGACCATTTTTTCCAGAGCTCACTTACTGGTCAGCATGGTCTCTATATGTACTGTGTTGATATGGAAGGTGGTGGTTGCATCCCTTTTTTCTGCAGCATTTGCTATTTTACTGTGATTTCTTTGGTACATGATTCTTATGCATCCTGTAATGTTTTGTCTCTTTCAATTAAATTCTTTTTTTTCTGTTTCTTAAAGTATCTGAGAAGAAATTTCATCACTAGTAGTCCTTTTCCTAGCAAAGCTAAGAAGCAAGCAGCAGTTTGAAATGACACAGTGCAAACCTCTTCTCCCGATTACTGTTACCACTAATCTGCTTGACTTGAACTCCTGCTTCCCTTCCAGTTGTGTTTGATGTTGCGAACCTTGGAGCTTTAGGGCCTGTAGTTAGCTGCTGTTCTCTTTCTTTGCAGATGCCAGTGTATTATTACCCATCTGGTCAGTACCCTACCTCAACAACTCAGCAGTACAGACCCATTGCCTCAGTTCAGTACAATGCACAGCGGAGTCAACAGATCCCACAGACTGCACAGCAAGCAGGTATTTACATCTGTTACTCATTTCTTCAGCAGCTTGCAGTGCCTTGGCTGGTGAAACCTATTGGTTGTGGTTTCATTTGGAATTTGAACAGCAGAGGAGAAAGCTGGTTGCTGTTCTGTTTAAAAATGAGGGGAAAAATACAACTCGAGAAACTCTTTGCTTGGAGATACTGAAGAGCAGAGGTTTTGTTCTTCTCTACTGCTCTCCTGGACACAGTGTTGTGTCCTCAGTGTCTGTGCTCCACATATTGGGGCACAGGGAGAGCTGGGTGGGAACTGGTGTGAGCTGTACATTGCATGTTCAAGCCAACTGCTGCAGTTTGTCCTTCATCGTGCAAAATCCCCAAATATTTGTGAGACTGCACAAGGAGGACAGGTTTGCAGTGATGCAGAAGGTGCTCCATCACCTTCTGCTCTCCCTGAGCCTGAGGAGCAGCGAGGTGGTCCATGAGGTTGATGCCCATCAGCACCAGCTCCCCACAGAAGCGTGCGGCTGGAAGGGGGGCCGTTACACTGTAAGAGAGTGAGTAGCAGGTCTCACAGTGAACCGGTCTCTTTTCCTGCTGTGTCATGCCACTCCTGATGACACCAGATTAAGAGGGACATAGGCAGAGTTGGGCTGGTGCATGTTGGGGGGAAGGCAGGGGTTGTGCCTGTGAAGGGGTCCTCACCTTTCAAGGGAATAAACAGTTCTTCTGGTTTTGGAAGTATTTCTTTTTAAGTTATTGATTGTCTGTTTCTTTAGTGCACATCTCTGCTCGTTCGGTGTCTCAAACGGTAACTCCAAGGTGTAGGGGATGTTGTTTCCTGGTAGGGCTTGCAATTACAGACATGCCGAGTAGGATGAAACATTCATTGTTCTGTCTGGGTTTGGCAAAACCCATTCTGAATGGCAAAGCAGGTTCCCTGCAGAGGCCTTGATACAAAAGTCTTTTAAGATGCAAGTCAGCAGTGCAGACATGAGACATGAACAAGACTTACGGGGTCATCCAGCCATCAACTTGTCTCTGTAATGTGACTGCTGGCAATTTCGTTCACGTTCAGAGAAAGAGACACAGCAAACACAGCTACAACTAAGCAATTGATTGGGGGTTTTTTGCTTTGATTTTTAGGCTGTTCTAATAAAAATGGTGGCATTTTGGTCAGTGTCAGTGGTGCCTGACTGTGTCTGCTTTCATACCTTCATCTTTATACATCCCTGAGAGCGGAGAGGGTGAAATATTGCACAAAGGTCATCTGTCTCCTCTAGCTTCTATTACCTGACAGTCTAGTACCATGTTTATTATCTCTATATAGTGGGTCTTTGAACCTTAGTTCAAATCAACCTAGATGGCATTATCTGGGTCTACTATGTTGTTATAAAGCCATATTTATAAGTTTAATGCTACATCCATAGTACAATGGAGATTATGGTAAATGAAGTGTACAAGACATGGTCTAAAGCACTTAAGTGATGTTCTGGAGAAGATCCAGCTATTTGATCTTGAGGAAATCCTAGTTATAAAGATATATTGTAGCACAGGAGCTGTTATGTTTGGGTACAGACAATGCAGAGATGCAAATGCTAATTTTGTTTCTGTGTTTACTGCATCGTTTTCCTTACATGTTTGGCAAACATGAGTCAAGGAGTTTGTGTACAATCTCTAGCACGCCAGCCTTTCCCTGCAATTCACTCTTTCAGCTGCCTGCTCAGTTGGAAACATTATTTTTATCTCTTGTTTAAAACTGAAAACATTGTGACTACAGTTTAGACTCCCTGCTGTGGCAATGATTTTAAGCGTTTAGCTCTTCTCAAATCTTGAGACTTGGCTGAGAACAGATTCCTCAAGCTGGTTCATCCCTTTGGGCTCAGATACGTCCTTTCCCATAGCTGCCGTCCGAGCATATGATAGGCCTGACAGGAAGCAGTTTGCAGTTCCCTGCAGGTCTTTTCTTGGAGATGCTGGAAAGATAATGTGAATTTCTGTTCCACTGCATCCATGGGTATTTGGAGAATAACTAGCTTTCTAAAACGTCACATAATTTATACTTAAATAAAAGAGGAATTAAAGCATAGAAGACTGTGGTGGACTTGGCAGTCCTGTGGTAACAGCTGGACTTAATGATCTTAAAGGTCTTTTCCAACTTAGTTGGTTCTATGGTTATTCATGCTGTGATTTATGATGGAAGGTTCACTGTAAGCACTGAGACATCAAAACCCCAAATGATTCAGTGATGATTAGGTGGTTTCATGCCTAGTGTCACCACATCTGCTTTCCTTAGCATCGGCCTCCACACACACATGCGTTTTCCTCTTCATGTGCCCTGTGGCCTCAGTCTGCCTGCAAAGTCCTCATCTCTTTGGGCTCCTCTTTGATGCCCAGTAGCTGCTGCTGGGCAAGAGATGGTGCTTTGCAACTGCAGCAGATGGAGTGGTGGGACCTCAACAGAGCAAATCCCTGCAAGCTCACACTGCAGCCTATCAACAGGAGGGCAGGGGAGCTGGGGAGTGCCTCTCCTCTTCCAAGACCCTGATTCTTATGAAACTTTGGAAATGTCATCTCTCTGCAGCTTTCATCTCTCAGTCAAATGGGGTAGCAATTAGACGATGAACTCAAAATGTTGCTTTGAGGATCGTTTGAGCAAAACTGGCAGAGTAATCCCACTACTCTTCCCTTAAGAAAACAAGGGGTTTTTTGTTTTAAAAAGCAAAACAAAAAAACCCACCAAAAAACCTTTTTAAATCTTCCTAGAAACTTGTGCATGGCTGAAAAATAACAGGCAACAAGCGAGTGTTTCAGGCTATAGTTTCCCTTCCCATGTAGACTTAGCTTCAGATCAGCACATGAGCAGGTTGTGCAGGAGCCGGGGATAACAAGGGGCAGGAAAATGAAGAGGTGAAGCAGGGAGCAGGTCAGGGGTACTGAGAATGGAAAGGGGAAGAGATGGGAAGGAGGTAGATGAAACGATGATGTCCCCAAAGACCTCACACTTGATGATGCTTCAGAGAGAGGATGACTGCAGTGCAGGAGGGCCCATGGCAGGCCAGGCTCTCTACCTGTACCTGCTGGCTGGCTCTCACTGCAGTGTGAACAGGGAGCCTGGCACCTCAGAAAGTGTTTTATCAACATGCAGAAGTTTGCATGCTTGGAGGAGCTTTTGGAAGCTTTCAAAGCAGCAGCAAGGAGTTTAGATGTTATTTTCTCCACCTTTGGGCTGCAGAGGTCAAAGTTTGATCTAATGCCAGCAATTTGTTTTCATTTTGCTTAGAAAAGGTCACTTCAGGAGCGGAGCGATATTGATGGCTTTTACAGCAAACAGCTAAAGTAAAATGTCAGCACAGCATCTGTGGTGGGAAAGGGAGCCTGTACTCTCTCATGGCTCTGGAAGGAGAGCAATATTAAGTTAGAGTGGCTCCAGGGCAGAAAAAAAGATGAGCTCACCTAAAATTAGATTAGGGCTCTGGCAGCAATAAATCATCTGGAGAGAAGCATGTGAACTTGTGTGTGTTTGTTTACTCCTTTTATTATTTCTTTTCCCCTTAATTGCAGGCTTGGATGAGAGTGTAAGTGACCCATTCCTGGCATCAGCCTGGTACAAAATGAGATTTCCATGAAGATTTTATAAAAACCTCTGCCATTTGAATTACACCTGTTTCAAGCCAAAATCATAGAATCCCAGACTGGTGTGGATTGGAAGGGACCTTAAAGCTCCTCCAGCTCCAACCCCTGCCACGGACAGGGACACCTTCCACTAGAGCCGGTGGCTCCAAGCTCCTGTGTCCAACCTGGCCTTGAACACTGCCAGGGATGGGGCAGCCACAGCTTCTCTGGGCACCCTGTGCCAGCGCCTCAGCACCCTCCCAGGGAAGAGCTTCTGCCTAATGTTTAATCTAAATCTCCCTTCTATCAGGTTAAAGCCATTCCCCCTTGTCTCTATCACTGCATGTCCTTGTCAAAAGTCCCTCTCCAGATTTCTTGTCTGCCCCTTTAGGCACCTAAGGCTGTTACAAGGTCGCTCCTGAGCCTTCTCTTCTCCAGGGTGAAAATGCGGTCTCTGACAGTGTGGTAGCCTGGTCTGTAAACAGAAATACTTCTGGGGTATGTTGTTACTACTCATCTCTGCACTCTCTAACAGATGATACTTAAGATACTGTGACCAATATCAATAGAAAAATAGAGATATATTGCTGATAAATCAGTAATGTTTTGTAGTTTATCATGATAGAAGAAATCAGCAATATGGTCTTTTATTACCTCTGTGTCTATTTTCTTTCATTATAGCAAGTGCTGTGCACTGCAAGGACGTTGCATCTTTAAAGTGCTTCACAAACATGACCTGATAAGCATTGGTTTGGGATATGCAACTGTTCTTACGGCTGTTCACAAATGAAGAACCTGCAACAAATCACATGGTTTTCTCCCACTTTGGTTCATTGTTGTATCTCTCCCTCATGTGTGCCAGATAATTTCAGTGTGCAACTTAATGATAAAATAATATTTAGATCCTTGCTTAAGGGTTTAGCTCACAGTTCTAAAAGGCAGTTAGCCTGGTTTCTCACACAGGTGTAAGGTAAAAATCTGTGGTGTGTGTTTTGCATCAGTAATGAAGCTCAGCTTTCAGGAGATTAAAGATGAGACCTGTAATATTTGGTTAAAAAAATTTTCCAGCCAAAGGTTTACACTACAATATTTCCCGAGAAAATAAGATGATATTTGGCATAATTGGATGATCTGCCACTTCTTCAATTAAAGTAATGATTTTAGGATTTCCCATGCATTTTGGAATCCACAAATGTTGCCATTATAACCTGTTTCAGTGCCCAGACAGCACAAGGCTCAAATTGCATAGAAAATCTTTGTTTTTTCCTAAAATTCCAGTTCTAGTTGGTTGTGTACAGTAGGGAAA